AGAGAACATAAATAAACCCTGGATCACCTCGTCAACCGATATTACTTCGCCCGTGTAACGCGTTGGTATACCGCCCATGTTGTAATGAACAGTCGGTAGCACTGGGATTGGTTCTTTGGTGACGTCAACTCCAGCAAAAATAGCAGCAGTTTCAGATATACCAGGCAAGCGTTCGCGCAAAACCTCGGCGGGCAAATGAGAAAGTTGCAAGTATATATGATCGTGTTCGGGACCTACTCCACGACCCTCACGAATTTCAATGGTCATCGAACGTGAAACAACATCTCTTGACGCCAAATCTTTTGCCGTAGGGGCATACCGTTCCATGAAACGTTCACCCTGAGAATTAAGAAGATATCCACCTTCTCCTCTAGACCCTGGGTGTTATTGTGACTGACGGTTACTTCACCTTCGGCAGGATGGACAGGTGGATAGAAATAGGATAGAAACGTACCTTCGGTGATAAGACAGCCGGCTCCGTAAATTCCAGTGGGATGAAATTGTACAAATTCCATGTCTTGCAGAGGTAACCCGGCACGAGCAACCATCGCGTTTCCGTCACCAGTACATGTGTGAGCACTGGTGCACGAGAAATATGTGCGCCCATAACCACCAGTAGCTAATACTGTTTTATGTGCGCGAAATCGATGCAAGGTGCCATCTTCCATATTTATGGCGATCACACCTCGACACACGTCATTCTCCATTAAAAGATCGATGGCAAAGTATTCAATGAAAAAATTGGTATTATGTCTCAATGATTGTCCATATAATGTGTGTAATAAAGAATGACCAGTGCGGTCGGCTACCGCTGCGCATCGATAGGCCTGACCACCTGAACGAGGAAAAAAAAACAAAACGGTCTCGTTAAAAAAAAAAAAAGATCACGTGATCCAAAATAAGACGAATGATGAATGCCTTTACAAACCCTGTCCGTACTTTAAACTTTGACCACCAAAAGCTCTTTGATAAATTTTACCCTCTTCAGTTCGTGAGAAGGGAACACCGTAATGTTCAAGTTCAATGACGGCATCAGGTGCTTCGCGACACATATAATGTATTGCATCCTGATCTCCGAGCCAGTCGCTACCCTTGACAGTGTCATACATATGCCAACGCCAGTCGTCTTCAGTCATATTGCCCAGAGCGGCGTTGATACCACCCTAACACATTCATGGCATGAGAAACAGAGAATGCATTAAACATCATAAATTCCCGGATGCTTTTTACCTGTGCGGCCACAGTGTGCGATCTTGTGGGAAATAATTTTGTGATACACGCGGTGTTCAAACCAGACTCCGCAAGGCCAAAAGCAGCGCGTAAACCGGCACCACCGGCACCAACTACAATAGCATCGTACGTGTGATCAATTACTGGATATTTTGCTGAAACCGACGACTAATTGAGACAGAACGACAATTTCGATACGATGAAACTATCAGCTTCTCAATACAACACAATGCCTTCTCAAAAATTGTAGATAAGCTTTTTGCAGATACCTCCTTTGCCCTCAAAGGTTGTGTTGCGATTACTCGAGAGTGGGATCGCGAGACGTGAAATGCTCTGTAAAGTGAGGGAGTCGGGATCTATACGATAATTTTTTGATGCACACCTTAATTTACAACAATTAAACGCAAGGTATTTTGCAAAAATATATCACATGTACCGAATTGACAAGCTTCCGGCAAGATTTAAGCATCACTTCGAGAAAAGACGTAAAGGAACAAGGCAGGTCTGAAGATCGCAAAAATTAGATGAAATCGGTCAAAAATTAAAGTCACGTGATCCATATATGTACAATCTAAAGATATTCATTGAAGGATCCAGCATTGCCAATTTGGGGGGATCCGCAGGTCAGGTCACATATTTTTGCAGACGCCATTAGATTGATAAAAATATTTTATCAATGTTCAAAGGTCGATTGAGGGTCAGGATGTTATTACCGCGAATCCTTGATCCCAAGATTAATACAATCTTCAATGAATCAAAAGACCATTGTCCGAAGCAATTCAAGTTTTATAATAAAAAAGTCACATTTTACTAATCAGCAACGCTAAAAAAATTATTATTGTCTAAATCATTCTAATAACATAATGACCGTGACACCGTGACAGGTACGACAATCATGCGTAGACTGTGGTGTCCCACGCTCCGCTCCGGACAATTAACTAGTTAAACGCGTCAAATTTAGCCAAGGAAGGCGGGTTACTTCATCAAAGACCACCGCGAAGAGCTAAAACAAGATGAAGAACTGCTCCACCTTTTATGCCAGATTCTTCAACTGTTTTTTCATCGGACCTGGTTGTTTGGAAGAAATTTTATAAATCCTTGATCGAAAGATTATTCTCATAACTGAGACTCTCGAGTGACTTGTGTATTAAACATACAGTTGTTTCCCACCGTGAATTAAACGCTGTTGGGCGGGCGGAATACCTTCTTTTTCTTCCACACGCTCTTTTATTCTTCCTACCTAAGATCGGAAATTAATATGCTGAACGAATCTATAATATTCATTTTAAATACTACCGTGTCTGATTCTTCTATATTGATTTCAATCTATACATTCAATACAAACGGGTGAATAAGTTATCCAACAATGAGAACTTGAGTTTTACCCTTAAAAAGAAAAAATACTCACTTCTTTACCAGTGAGCGTCTATGTATAAGATAAAAAAAGTTTTTTCAGTGTTGCAAAACTGTCAGATGAGAACATTAAGCCCGCAATATAAAACTCGACATTCTTGTTCACAAGGATCGAAGCTTCTAAAGTTACCTTGACCTTGATATTCATTATGTTTTTCCCTTTATCCTTTTAAAAAAGAAAATACCGATATATTCAACGAAAAGGAAAAGGAGATTAAATAAGGCGTTCATGTGATATCCTATAAAACCACAATCGATAAGCGGCGCATGATAACTTGCATTTAATTTATAATTTTTTTTATTATTCTTATCTTTATTGAAATAAATATATTAATTTATAATACTATTTATGAGATAGTTTATTATTTTATTTTTTTTTCGAGTACCCGCAGCCAGGCTAAATCATAGTTAATTAATCAATTGAAAACATACGTACATTTTTATTCGAGCAGTATATATACAGTATATTACAGCTAAATATCTATCAAATATAACTAACTCATGATAAGCAATAATAGTCTCTAAGTTTGACCTTGGGAATAATATTTTATTCCATGGTGATCTTTGAGTAAAGATCCTCCTAATCCATCACTTCATCACTAATAGATCATTATTGTTATATATCCTATCAAGCCTTATAGTTTTTATTTGAGTTATTCAGTGAATAGGAATTATTGTCATACAGTATATACTTGTATAAACAAAGAAAAAAAAAAAAAGGGGATAATGTATCTATTATATATATTTCCAAATAAGCACTATATATAGTTGCTTTCAAAAGTTTGAGTTCACTTACTATATTTTTATTATAAATTTCAACTTTGACAATTTTTAAATCATTAATTATACAATCAAAAATTTTTAAAATTTATATATATTATATCTTAATACTTATTCTATTTCTTATATTTTTCAAAAAAAAAATTTTTATTAATATATTTTAAAGTTTTATTATTGTTAAATATCTTTATTTTTTTATTAATTATTATATGATTTGTGATAATAGCCAATCAAAATTCTTCAATAATAAAAATTTAATAAAGAAAGAAAATTTTTAATAATAATAAAACTTTAAAAAATTATATATATAAATTTTTTGAAAAAAATATAATAAATAAAACTAGTATTAAAGTATAATATATATATATATTACAATCTTTGATTATATAATTAAGGATTTAAAAATTGTCAAAGTTAAAATTTATAATAAAAACATAATAAATGAACTCAAATATTTAGAAGCAACTGTATATTAACTATTTTTTTTTGTGTACCCATAGCCAGATTAAATTGTTAATTTATTAATCAATTGAAATCATAAGTATATTTTCATTCAAATAGTATGATATATATTATAACTAAACTACTATTTTAATTTAATTAACTCATCATAAGCATAAGAACCTCTAAGTTCAGCCTTGGGGACAATATTTGCTTTATAGTATCTTTGGATAAAAACCCTTTTAGTTTACTATATTATTGCTAGCAGATTATTATTATTATATGTTTTAGCAAATCACTAGAATACAGAAAACTATAAAAGAATGGGTTGAAAAAAAGGAGAAGAGGGATATCTAACAATATTTAAATAAACAATAAAAAAATGAAAAGATAAAAAATTGAAAAAAAGATTTCTAGCTTCCTCTAAATACTTACTTTTCAAGATCTCTTCTCAATAAAAAATATTTGATTGGAATATTTTTTCTTTTTCGAATCATCTGAAGAACTTATTTATTTTTGATCTTAAATTCCTTCTCATATACTATCTAAGAAGACTTATCACCTATTGGAAGTCTTTACTTTCAAGATACACTTGGTTTCAATCTTTTTTAAACAGTGATTTTTTATCTATCTGTGATAGAGGAATGACTTATAATAGATCTCAGGTTCTTATGTGATTTAATAAGAACTGAATTATATTATTTCAATATAATACCTTTCAGCAGTTATACCCAATTAAAGAAATTTTACTGATATACATCTTTTATTATTCAAAAAACTAGATTTTTTAATAATTCTTTTATTTTGTAATGATAGGAGGGTTTTAAAAAAATGAAGATCCTTGTTGATTGTGATATTCTTTAACAACTTTTAGGAAAATATATTATCAACTGTAACCAAAAGGTTGGAGCTTAGTATAAACTAGAAATTATTTGATCTTATTGTCTGATCAAAACAAGAATGAGACCTTGATCTTGAACTTTGCCTGACTGGAATAATAGAAGAAAAAGATCTCAGCTTGAACAAATAGTAGCTTTTTTACCATCTGGGGACTTATTGCTTGTATCTTATTAATCTCATGAAACTTAATCTGTAAGTTAATCCAATTGGAAAAATGGGTGAACATGGAAAATCAATTAATTCTTTAAATTACCAATAATATTATCAGAATATGTAAGTGATCAATAAAAACTTATTTATATTTAGCTACTAATATGTTTTATGTTTATCAATTATATTTTGTAATAAATTATATTTCCTAAAATTCAAGATCAAACTGAAATAGACAAAATTTTCCAGAAAACTAAAAAAATTTTGGAGTGACTATAAGAGAGAAGAAGCAGTGAACAGATACTTTAAAAATATAACTTGAAGTTTACTGTCTTCTACTGCACAAATCCTCTATAAATATTCTTTAATATAAAAGACTTTAAGTATTATACTATTAGTTTTTCTTTCTTACAGAACTTTCTTGCCATAAATAGAGAAGGTGTTTCTTGACTTTTCTAGGTCATAAAAGTTAAGTTTTTATTTGAAGATGAATATAAACAAAAAAGAAGTTTAAAAGTATCTATTTAAATAAAACTTTAAGTTGATTTAAAAATAGTGTTAAGACTTTATTAGCAAAGAAATAAAAAATTTCTTGTGAATATTTTTTTTGTATATGAGTAGAAGATCAGTGGAAAGAAAAAGAAACTATATATTAACTATTATAGTAAACTATAATATATATGATTAACTATATTAATCATACTATATATATATAAATACTATTTTAACAAAAAACTATATGATTTTATTTTAATTATTCCTTATATATTTTTATTGTATACTAAAGTAGATAGACTATTAGGTTATCAAATACAATATTTTAAATTTGATATTTTAATTTTTTGAAATGGTTCATAGATTTCTCCTCTATTAAGATTATGCAATAGTTAAATTAGTGAATAGAAAAAAAACCAATGTTTGATTATCAGTAATATTATATTAGTTTAAATATCTACTCTTGTAATTGTTATTTTTGTTTACTCCTTAATATTACTGAATGACATCAGAATAATCTTAATTAATTTTAAATTCAATAACTAATTATAATCCTTATATAGATTATACTATTTATTAATAGATATAGATCATACTACTTATTAATAAATATTTTTTTCTTAAATACCTTATAATAAATAACTATATTTGGAAATATCAATTAGATATAGTTAGATCAATAGATATAGATTTTTATCAACATTAATTATTACTTTCTGAAAGATTTGAAGCTATATTTTATAATCAAATTTATGGAGTACTAATAACTATACTATTGACTTATTCAAAGGCAAAGTTGGATGGATAAGTAGTTGTTAGATGTCCCTTCATTTCTTCTCCTATTTCATTTTCTTGTAAATATTTTAATCTTCCTCCTCTATTTTAATTTTTTTTTTAATACTGACTAGTCACAAGACTAATATAAGAGATCTCAACATCAGATAGTACTGGAACTCTTGTGCAAGTCCTGACATATTAGGTCCCATTAATGGATGGCAATAAGCTAATCGGTAGGTATATTGTATACTCTAGATAATGTCGATTTCTAAATATGGGATGGGTAAGCAATGCATAACTTGTGTATCTCATTTATCCCCTGTTTTGTTTTCAAAAGAGAAGTATTTATACTAGGCAATCATTTATTTTCCTTATCCTGATTAGGTTAGATATAGATCAAGTCATAAAAATAGATAACTCTTTGTTCTATTTCTCTCTAGTAATCTGTAAATCCTCAAACAGTATAGAAAAGTATTTATTCCAATTGTTGCTAAATATGATCTTTTCTTAATAAAGTACTGGAGAAAGCATGGGATGAGCCAGTTTTAAAATAAAAAAAAATATTATCGACTTATAGATCTTATTTTTTTTTGATAAATATCTATAGTCAAATTAAATTATAAGTTTATTTTTTTTGAGTATCCATAATAAAGTTAAATTATAGTTTATTAATCAATTAAAAACATAAGTATATTTTTATTCAAGTAACATAATATATCCTATAACTAAACATTAATATCAAATCTAATTAATCAATTAAAAACATAAGTATATTTTTATTTAAGTAGTATAATATATCCTATAATTAAACATTAATATCAAATCTAATTAACTCATTGTAAGTAATAATAATATCTAAGTTTAATTTTGAGAATAGTATTTTGTTCTATAGTAGATTTTGGATAAAGACTCTTTTAATTTACTATTTTATTATTAATAGATTGTTATTATCAAATGTTCTATCAAACCACTAAAATATAGAAAATTACAAAAGATAGATTGAAAAAAAGAGAAAGAATATATTTAAAAATATTTAAATAGATTACAAAAAATAAGAAAAAAATAAATAAAATAAAATTACTAGTCAAAATTATGTTATTCGGTAGTTGAATTATTGTTAAATTTGATAAAATATAATAATAAAAAGATTGATAAATTATTTACAATTGCTATCACTTAGCATTAAAATATCTGCAAATAATTGACAAAAAAATTTTAGCATATTGTGGCAAAAAAATTTAACACAAAATCTAGCAATATAATTGCAAAAAAATTTTTTTGCATATTGTAACAAAAAAAATTTTTTTACATATTGTAATAAAAATTTAACAAAAAAATTAGTACTATAACAAAAAATTCAGCAAAAATTGATATTGTAACAAAAAATTCAACAAAAAAATTAGTACCATAGCAAAAAATTTAGCAAAAAATTGATATTGTAACAAAAAATTTAACAAAAAAATTATTACAACAAAAAATTCAGCAAAAGTTACAAATACAGTATTGAAATTTAGTAAATATTCAAGAAGTTTAACAAATTTCAGGAAATTTATTAAAAAATTATAAAATCAATTAACTAAATTATTCATCACTTTCCTCTTTCTTCTCTTTTACATGCTTTTCTTTTTCTTTAAAAATTTTAGCTTAACTCTTTTAAAACTAGTTTCAATTGGTTTTAACTTGTTGAATATTTTTTAAGATTTTTTACTTTTTTTTTTTAATTTAACTGTTTCCTAAA